GTGCACCACGTGGAGGTAAGTCTATTGCACACCCCATGAATAAGATAATATAATAAGCAATAAGTAAACTCAGTTAGGAAAGCATTCTCGATTACCCAGAGGCGTACCATCAAGGAATCTTCCTCGAAAAAGGCTTAAATTCTGAAACTCACCGGGTGTGTGTGTGTATGGGTGCTGACGAGCAAATACTCTAACCTCTGCGCATTCAACTAAGCGTCAACTACACAAGATAGGTCACATTGATTTAACAGTAAAAAAAGCGTTACTGTAGAATTGGCATTCATTTGAAATTTACCCTCATTTAACACCCCCCCCCCACAGCTTTATACACTAAGAGATTTAAAAAAACCAACTGTTAGCAGTTGCCCAACGGAATAAGTTATTCCGTATGCTTATATATTTATTTAAGCTAACCACTTTAATTTCAATTTAAATCCTCCCCCCCCCTCTCCATGGCCTACTCATTTGCATAGTGTCAGTCTCGTTGATGCATCTCCATACAACTTTTGGACCAATCCTCTTGAAACTCATACAGTCTACATGGAAACATCCAAAAATCCAGCGATTCTAACTGGTAATGTGCTCGACAAATTGAGGGAAAAAGGTATAAAGCGCCCCTAGGAGAAAAGAAATTTTACTAACACAAGGGCTTACCCAGTCGACAACTTCATCCAAGTGCTCCTTCATGTCAGCATTATAGTGCAGTTCTCTCTCCAAACGCCGCAAAACAGCTTTGACAAGTTCGCAACAGAAGATGGGGAAGTAAGCTCTTTTGGCATTCTCTGAGGAGACATGGCAACTAATCTGGCAAAACTTTGGCCAAAATTAAATTGGAGGCGGTAGTTAAGAAAAGCAGCAAAAGTAAGGCTTGAATTCATAATGATCTTGCGATAAAAACCAATGAACGCTTCTTTGTTAAATTTTCGCTGCGAAATTTCTCACATGTCATAATTCTGCGAGGACAGTCTAAATTCTGACACTATTACGGAAAGGCTATAAGGCCTTAAAAAATACAGATTCTCATATGCTTCTCATCCAGTATTGCCTATTGCAATCTCATCAGAGAGTACTTTCTTGACATGTGAACTAATGAATGTCGTGAAAATAGAACCCCCTCCTGACCTTCTAACCCCCCCCCTCCCCCAATCTTAAAATGAATTCGCAAATCGAAAATCTCCCTTCTGCATCTAAAGCCACTAAGGGACAAGTGGAGACAAAAAATGTAGCCCTTGGGGGTCAATGCTAAATTGAAATTTCAAGGAATTTCTTACGTACTAGCCACGTCACACACAAGTAATAAATTGGTATTTCAATAGAGAAAATAGTATCCACTGTAACCTCAACGTACGTGGAAAAAGTGTCGCAAAAGTTTGAGCACATTCGAATCAGGAGTAAGAGAGTTGGCAATGATTTTGGCACTCGGGCATAATAAACTATCGTAGTTGATTTTGTCAAGGTAAAACGTGACAAGAGAATTGAATATGCGATCCAAATGAAGGTCCATATCAAGTCTGCCGGGAAAGAGGTGGGCAAATTTGGCAAGTAGATTAACAACCTCCTAACAACGGATAAATCAACTACTGAAAGCTGTTACGTGGTATATAATTTAAAAAGTAATGATAATAATAATAGTAATAGAGGAATTACGACGTGAGCTTTGAGGTCAAAATGCTGATACCAAATATGAATGATTTCGTCCAACCAGACACGTCTATAAGTGCGAAAAATAGCAATTAATGACAAATAACCCCATTGGAAGGTAATAAATCTCAAACGTTACTTTATTTCTTCAAAATGTTCCAATCTATTTGGGGTGTACAAAAGCAGGAGGTCGAAAATGTTTTCATAACTATGTTGTCTAAGTTTGGAATAGATTGAGGGCCTAAAATGCTGCCAAATTTCTTCCACACACGACGCGGGGAAGTAACTGCAATACAAACCAGAATAATAATAATAATCCACATTCAAGCAAACTATATATATATATATATTTACGGCTTTGCCAAGGATAGTAATTCACGATCCAAATTGGTCGTCCTAAATTAATGGAATTCAAGGATCTTAGCATTGAGAATATGAACTTACACAAGGGCTTCTTGAAAATAATTCAACAAATCAGTTTCTTTCGCGAAGCCAACATCAAATTCAATCCAGTTTAGCTGCAGTTCTTTCCGCCCAATGAAATTATTTGAGAAACTAAAACAAATAAACTAACCATTAAGCATTAGTAGTATGTGAAAAAAGGATAAAAGCAAAGGTAAGTAGGTTTTGACTGAGGAATCAAAGGCTCTGAAAATGAAATTTGACTTAAAGTTTTCCCACAGACCGATAGAGAATACCTGGTAAATAGAAATTCTGATCTCACACTTCTCAGTAAGAAAAAAACCACCTGATTACAATAAGAAATTCAAAGGGACTAAAATATGCAACAGAGTATTAACCTAAGTTAAAGGTTGTCTGTGATTCTCCAATTTATGTCCAGTTTGTGTTCTAGATAAATGACTAAAATGATAGATTTTATCGAAAATTTGTGTGATTTGTCGCATGGACAGTGAAAATGCCAAACAATGCCCTCAAATTGCCGGGTCAGTCATGAGTACATACCCAGTGACCTATTTAACAAATCACACTTCAGACATCATTTAACTAAAAAATAATGAAGCGTGACAATTCTCTGACCCCCCCCCCCATTACACCCGCCCCCNTCCCCCCCCCCCCCCCCCCCCACAAACGGACAATTTGCACAACTGCAAGTCAGAGATCAAGAGACTGTTGACCCATGCCGTCCATTCAGTAATGTGGATAAACAACCATCCTGGTTAAATCAGATCAACAAGAATGATGAAACGCGAACTTCGTATGAGAGAGGCTTCAAGAAACATCTTTACCAAAGTCAAGCATTGCGGGTGCTTCCATTAAAGGACTTTTAAAGTTCGAGCTAAGAAATCTTGAATAAGTGGCAAAGCCACCAGCGTATGAAACAGCACAATACCACTCGAAAGCTATGGCATAAGTTGGTGATTAAGACAGGTCAACAGAGGGATAGAGAGAGAGAGAGAGGGGGGGGGGGGGGGAGGACGCAGAATACCAGTTCCTCAGCAGACTGTGATATGATTAAACCGCAACCTGATTAAATGTGTCAAGATACGCACATTCTAAGGATTAAATTAACAGCTGGCAAAAAGTATACATTATGCACCACGACAGTAAGTGGAAAGGATGAATTCTAAAATTCATCTGATTTAAGTAGTGTTAATAAAGAGGGATACGCGTTAATAATTCCTAAATGAGCAACAACAAGGTGATTTTCTGCTTTTAAAACGCAGAGAGTTCGACACTCCAAACGAATCCAAAAAGAGGAGGCAGCGATGGAAGTTTGGAGTGTAGTTAGGAACCAATTTTTTTCGAAAAAAACAAATCATGACCTGTTGAATTATGTGCATTATTTAATACGCTTAAAATATGTTAGACGATTTATAAATTGAAACCTAATTAAGCCCTTTTGAGCACTGCACTTAATAATAAGTTTAATGCTTAAGTTCTAATAGCTTGGAAGTTAAAATTGTCTAAATTTACCACCAACAATTACAAGAAAACTGTGCGCAATCACATAATTTCAGTGAAATTAAATAACAGTATATCATCAGATTCACGATATAGATTAAAAAATGCAACAATTCATTTTTATTGGGGATTTCGCATTTTCGAAGCCGACCTCACATGAAATAGTTAACCTGGGAAGGAGTATTTAAAAAATTCATATCCAGTCACTACAAGAGGTATAAGTCACCATGAAAATGAAAAGATGGAAATGTGAATATTCAATTTTAGTCTGGAATAAAAAATTGGAAAAAGATAATTACACAATTGTTCTTAATTAGTAGTAGATAAAAAAATATTGGAGCGATGTCAACGTGAACAGTGGCATTCAAAGTAAGAATTATTCAGTATATTGGCAAAGATTCCATTAAGTTATGCTGTTATAATTGATCCATATTCTAAAATTTTGATTAATAAAGACGAATTTAAAAATAGACGATGCAAATAACAAAGAAGCTAAGCTTGGTTTCCAATAGATGGCTTCTTAAAGCTTCAAAATGAACAATTGATGGATATAAATACTGCTAAGACCATGGGCGTTTTATTGAAACAAATACATAAATAATTCACTTTCAATGCCAAAAAATTCAATAAAATGAATTTCAAATTTCTTAAAAAAGTGCAGCCTCAATTGATTAAAAAAGGAAGTTCACTAAATTGAAGAAATACGGAGGTCTGCATACTAATAATAAAAACTCCAAGAAAAAAATATAATTATTTTCTAAAATAGTTGTAAAATTGTCATGACATCCTTATTTTCTCTTCAAACTTAAATAAAAATTACCGTAAAAGATTTATGACAACGAATCTCCACCTGTCACGAACGCTTTTGTCAACTTGTTGACAGAGGACGAGAGAAAGTCCAAATTGAATTAAATCTATCACCTCCTTTTTGGTAAACCGCATTCCAAAATGCTGTATATAGCTAAAATATAGAAAAACAGGAAATCAGGGAAATAAATGAAGTATACCTGTAAATGTAACGTGGAATTTGGTCGTTGTGGCATGAGTAGGTACTGGATGAGAGAAGCCTTCTCAAGGATTCCTTAAGACCATTTCCAGCAATTTCCGCATAAGAATCCAACTGATCGGCGTAAGGAAGGAGGGGTAACAAGCGGGATACTTCTATAAAATTCTTTCCGATTTTAAAAGGCATTAGATGTAATTTATTCGAATATCTAAAATGGAAATATAATGATAAGAGACAAAAAATGTTAACGTAAGGCGATCAGGAAAAATAAAAAACAAATAGAATCAAATCTGAGCGATTTCAATAAGTCTGTTTCTGAGTTAAGCCTAGATACCATTTTCACAAGAACATAAGAAGTATTTTATAATAGTTAATTAAATAAAATTATAAAATTCCATTCAATTATTGCTACAGTATATTCGAAATTTAAACAGTTGTATAAAACTATTTAAAATACTCCACATAAAAATGATAACAAAATACTAGGCGAAAAACAGACCTCTTATAATAGTTTGACTATTTTGTAAATTTACATAATTTATACGATTCGACCTTACATATGATACAATAACATGTTTAAAGAGTTAAACAAATTAAAGAACACCAACAATAAAGAATAAATCAAATCTTATTTATATTCTAAAATTTAAAAAAATTTTCTGATGTCGTATTAAAAGTTGCTTATCTGTTGTTTGGACATGCTGTTAGTTAATTAAATTTATGATGATTCTGTTGAAAATCGACCAATTTAGAATACAGAGGAATTATAATGATTATAAAAAATGGTGACCTTGATAAATGATGAGCTATTAACATAATGCAAAATAAAGTAAAGTAGCCAGCAAGAATTTCTCACAGAATTTGCATAAAGATACTTTTAAGCAATTGTCAATATAGTGAATTTACTGAGTTAAAAGTTATGAACCTAACTTATCCCCATCGTTATACCCTGGTATAAAAATTTTTCGACAAAGAACATTGCTGTATTACGTATCGTTACTTCATCCCCATGTGAAAGTCTTTCGTCATGTCTACTTAGTCAAGCTCTCTCTCGCTTTAAGCATTTGGTTAATTCACATATACTTCTCGTATTTGGATTGAATTTTTTAAGGTTTTTTGAATCCATTAAATTCTATATACTAAACAGGTATATCGAATTCATGCATTTCAACCGGCAATACATATTTCATACTTGCGTCATTATTACTGTAAATATATTGTCTTTATCAATCTTCATAAATGCTTGTTTTAGTAATTTTCTAATTTTTAATATTGATAATGATAAAAAACTAATTGCTTTGGAAATCAATTCCACTCACACAAAAATGCATAATATAACCCAAAGAGAATCCTCGAATTTTGAAATATATCCAAGAAATTCAGCAACTGAACAAGGTATTCATTCAAAGCAAGATTTTCATTTAATAATCTAAAGTTCAAACAAATTTTTCATTAATATTTAACTAATTTTATTATATCGACAAAATTACATCGATTTTGAAATTTATAAACTCCTTTGAAAGATATATAAAAAGAATCATTTAAAAGCTTAAAATAATAATTATTTCTTTATAAAAGCGAGCATAATTGAAGTAAACTCCACTGTACAAATAGCATATCACAAATTATACAAAAACTAATTAGGGCAATAACTAGCAATGTAGTTAAAAATGTTTATAAAAATATACTTTAAAGCTGACATCAATAAGAGTTTTCTTTAATTAACCAATTAAATGCTTTTGATAGCTTTACCTTGATCTTGTTTGTTTTTTCAAATATTCTTGATTTAGGTCGAATAATGTTAATACCGCTTGCTATAAGCGGTGCAACCCATCACATGATGGTGTTAAAGTCGATTATTTATTTTTGCATAATATTACTATTATTCACCGGATCTTCTGCGTTTAACATTGAAGTCACTTTTCCGTCAGTTAAAAATGGAAAATTGAAATCGCTTTTTGGATTTTCTGTAGCTGGACATCAAATGCAAAATAATGAAAGAGGGTATTTATTTATTTTCTTTCTTTTTTTAATATTGTATAGCCTTATCGTTGGTGCGCCTACAGATGAAAACTCCGGCTCTATTTATTGGTGTTCATACAAATCAAGCCAATGTAACAATGTTAAGTTTGATATATACAAAGCTGCTTCTTACTCATATTCAAAACTTGGACATGAATTATTTGGGTATTCTTTGTCGACCCTTCCAATGCAGCAAGACAGACTGGCTGTCGTAAGTTGAATATTATTTTTATAAATAAAGTTACTTATTCGAGAATATTGATTTTCTCCTCTTATTTATAGGCCTGCTCCCCAAGGTTGTCATATGAAGTGACAGGAAAATTATTTGTTACTGGTGGATGTTTCGCATTCAGCAATATTCTCTCAGATCCTCAATTTTTGGGCGCATCTACATGTCTGAATATCCCAGATTCTTCCCGATCGCTAGATCTTCGATTTTGTTTGAACGGCGCTTCTGCCTCCTATTTTCACAACTCATCAACAGATCTAATTGTTTCTGGAAGTCCATACTACCGGTTTGCCAGAGGAATTGGATTGGTTAGAAATATTACTGAATTCAGTAAAGTTAGGAAAACTGACTCTTCAAGTCTTGGAGACTATAGTCTTCTCGGTATGTGGCTACATAACTCATCACCTTCCTCTCTTTAAGGATCCTCTTCCGTAATTTCCGATCGCGTTTACAGCTCAGCTTCGGATACCATTAAGCCCATTGTCACTGTATTTGGTGCCCCTGGAGTTCCTCAAACCAAAGAAAAAAAAGGTTCAGGCTATGTTGTTCTTAATGTGATTGAAAAGAAAACCAACCAAATTATCATCCCACACGCTCAAATTCTTCAAGGCAGTCGTTTTGGTTCTCGATTCGGTCACAGTGTTGCTCTTATTGATCTGAACGGTGACGGGTGCGTTTTACTTTTCGGCTTGTCTTTTCTCCTTTCTCTAAGTTCTCGTAGATGCTAAAATTATAAATACTTGTACTTTTCGCCACTAGGATTACTAAATATGCCCCATTCTTAGATAACTTTCTTATTAGAAAACATACCTACTCGATAAATTATTAATGGCTTATTTCATTTTTCCTAAACGAAGTCGAAGTATTGGCCTTTTTTCGTAACTATTTATCCAGTCAAAAAGATTAAATGTAAATTACATATATCAGCTTAAATATTATAATCAGTGATGTGATTTGGGAAAATATTGGCCTATTTTCGCATGCATTATTTCACCTGACAACCATCGGATGCTTAAGTAAAAAATATATCTCTACGATTTTTGTTTTGAAATAAAGTTCCGCAGTTTATATTTCCTTTGGTGAATAATTTATCCAAAGATATATTCAGAGACATTAAATTCAAAATTTATCAGTTTTAAGTTGTGCTTTCCAGAAATTTGTGAAAAATAAGAACACAAAATGACAAAGCTGAGTTGCTGGGTTCAAGGTTAATATGGATTGGTTTGAAGTTACAGTGAACCATTTATTATAATGCAAAATATATATATGACACTAATTATTAAGAATTTCAAGATGAGAATTTGGTTTGATTACCACCTAATTCATTGAAAATGTGTGGTCATAAATCAGAACAAAGAAAAAGGATATCTTTCACATTTTGCACTAATTATGACCACTCTTCTTAATGCCTCTAATTCCGTTAAATTATAACGTGCATTGGCTTGCATTAAGAAAGTTCAAGAATATCAATGATATTTAATAGATGCTTCACGTGTTTTACATTTACTCATCCCTGTATCTGACTGGATGTGGTTGAGTTCACTCTGCTATTCTTGGTGGAGTGGGGTTTAAGGTGCGCGCCTGTCATGCTAGAGGTCACGAGACCAATGCCCACCGATGTGGGTGGCCAACTAGAGAAAATGTCGAATTTTCTTATCTCATAAGGATGAATGTCTTCCTTCTACTTAATTTAAGCATTAACAATACTCCTCCTATTGGTCTCGGGATAGTTATGTTCGAGAAAGTTTTGTTTGTTGTTGGCATGGGAGTTTAAATCTGCCAACTAGGTATAATTACGAATATTGATTTTCTTTAGCTGGGATGATCTCTTGGTCGGAGCCCCATTTGAGCAGCAATTAGATCCACTTGCCCTCCAAAAACTTGGTACTGAAGGTCGAAGTACTCACAGTGGTTCAGGGGCTTTTGGGAGCGTTTACATTTTCTGGAATCAGCATCGTCGTCTGCCTTCAACGTCTGCTTTTTCCAATTCCGAAATCCAGATTCTTAAACCCCCGCCCACCCTCTCCCTCAAAAGTGGTTTTGGAAGTGCAATAACAGCACTGGGTGATATTGACCATGATGGAGTTGATGGTATGTTCATAAAATGTTTGCTAAAATAGTTCACATAATTATTAACTCTTGTTTATGAATTTGATAGGTCTTTCATAAAATTTTGAAATAATTTATCTTTGGTTTGCCTCTCAGTTTTATGAAGTAAATTATAAATTATCGTCGGTATCAATATTTTTGTTTTATGGTCTTGTAAGTGTTGCATAATAAATATAGCAATTGTATGAATCATCCATATCCAAGTTGATAAAAGGTCATACATCATTTAGTGTTAAATAATAATCATGCATTAAAGAAAAATTAAGCGAAATTGCCAATGTCGGTCGCTATAATGCAAGATAAAAGGTAAGCACTATTTAATAATGCAATATATTTTTATGGAAAGGTGAACTTAAATTAAATGAAAAAGTAAATTTACTCGGAACAAGATACAGTAAAAAAGGTTATTTCAAATCGAAAAATACAGCCTAATCTTTGGAAAGATCCATTCCGATTTGAAAGGCACTTTATGTATACTATACGGTTTCCTCAAACCATTACAATAGACCATTTTCAAAGGGATTTAATTAAATATTGATTAGAGAAAAGTGCTTTTTAAATCCCCCCCCCTCCCACCAATTTGACCAAAGCACTTTATGAAAGCCAGAAAGTCAATTAAAGTTACACTACTTTTTAGTATTATTTCACAACCTCTTACGCGTTTCAATAAATATCATAACATCTAAAAACACACGAAATGCATAATAATCTCGTCCGAAAAGTGGAAGAGAGCTGAGAAGAGCCTTCCATTGGAATGACTGGATTATTAACCTGCTCATAAGATGGCTCAAATATCGGGGTCGGTTCATATTCACTAGTGAGTATCCGTTTGACTTGATTGGGTAATCAATTAAGTCACTTTGATTAGTTTATTCCTACTTTTATAGCAATGAGCAGCCTAATGAGACTAGCGGCCATTTCAAACTGTACAACTAAATAAACAGTTTGAGTCATAATAAGCAATCAACTCAATTGTCATAAATATACTTGCGGATTTGTCCAACTTTTTAACTGAATGCTAGAAACATGTACGCCAGTTTCCTTTAATAAATTAAAGGCGCTCGAAAATTTTTCAAGTAAAATCAGTTTCGAAACGCCTTAACATCTAGTAATTACTTGTCAAAGCGAATGGCATTTGGAAAGTTTCCTTTGCTATTCTATTTTATTGGAACACGTGTTCGCGGAAAAGGAAAAAAATGAGCACATATTCAAAGTTTAATATTCTCAAACAAACCACATTTTAATTGCATACATCCTAATTTATGGATAGAAATTATTCTATCAAGGGGATTCATTTTCCATAACTATTATCTATTTTATAGATAACTTCTATAATTGTTGCCATGAGTTACAAATCAACGCTGTTTAAAGACATTAGCGCATTAAAACGATAGCAGGTCTTAGTATTTTGCTCTAAAAGGTAGACCTGCGCTTCAAAACCTGGCCAATTTCAATCAATAATCGGTTTGGAAGGAAGAGTATTAATTAATACTATTCCTTTAAGCGTGGCTTGGCGTAATGCAGAATACCTAATGATTTGCAGGAAGGCAAGAACGAAATACGCAAATAAATGACTTCGAATTACAAGTTTCTGGAGGGTGCAAAAACGTCGACCGTGCTAGCACAGTAACACAGATTCCGACGTAGTCAGAGAGTGAGAAGACATTGCTGAAAAAGACACGCGCACTCTACAAAGTGTGCGCGTTCTCAATTTCGCTCTCTCTCTCTCTCTCTCTCTCTCGTTCTCTCTAATATCCCGCACACCTGAATGACTCATCATATTCTGATATCACATCACATATCATAAGGGGGGGGGGGGGGGGGGGGGGGAGGATTCAAGCACCAAGATTGGTCTACTTAATCATTCTGAAAAGAGATAACCCAACAAAAAATATGCGAAAAAAGCTTAATGGAGGAATAGCTGCCTTGTATAGTAGGGCAGTCTTTATTAACTTATTACGTTGGTCTATTAAGGACCTCTTTGACGCCTAACACAACTTTAACCACAAAGAGACCAAACAATACTCACCTTAATGCAGTAAATAGTGGCCATGAGTAGGAGTTTTCATGGAAATGGCCTAAAATTTGACATTATAGCCATATTATCTACCTGAGTTAGTTGCTTCGCTTTCAGGTCCGCAAATTTCGACCTGATCTGATATCTTTTATGACCTTACGGACAATTGGTAATTTCCAAAGTGGGTTGGAAGAGATGCTACTCAACTCAAGTCAACATTATATAGAAACCAGAGAGCAGGATATATTAATCCACCGGAACTAACCTAATTTAAATGGATTCAATGAGAGAGAAGAGGCATCACAATGATCCTTTCCAAATGTAATTAAAGAACTTTGTTTATACCTCAGCAAAGTTAATCGTCGTTTTAATAATCCTAAGATCCTTTGCTCAGCCCATGCATCAATCAAATGTCAATTAACTTCCTATTACATTAATTCTTAGGTGAATCATTGATGTATTGTTTGCAAAATTCTTTATTAGTCTTGGAAACGCTCTAAAATCTCACACAAAGCGTCCAAAATTAATGAACTACCCCTAAGAACACAAAGAATATTTGAATCTCACAGTTAAAGATATCGTTCAACAGATGCTAAAAATGACTTATTATCAATGAACAAGCTGGTCACAGTAGCCGGAAAATAAGTTTCAAAATATCACCTAATTAAAAGGCAAATAGGATGTTTGTGCCAATGATACTCACTAATAGAGGTGTCCTGAAGGTGTATCTAAATTAGTGGAAACAATTTTGTTTACGAAACCCAAATTCTACCACTTCAGTAATAATTAATATGTGACAATGGGCAGTATTCAGGCGACCGCTGAAGTTACTGAACATATTCATTTAATTAACTTTTTTTGGGCAACTTAAAATTTTATAACTTTTAGTGGTTTGTTATGCCTAAGGGACCATTCAATTTGCTAGTAAAGCTCCTTCCCAATTCTTTTGAATCATGGGCATAAATATTAAAATTCCAATTTATTTTTCACGCCATTATTCTTTTTGGACATTTTTAACATCCATTGGTGAGATTTTTTCAACGCCTCGAAGTTACTGAAATCGAACTTCATCAATTGAAATTCGCCATAAATGGATTAATGTGATGACTGACCGCTCATGATAAATTTACCTGAATGATTGGAATTTCGAAAAGTGCACACGCCCAGAGAACCTTAAATAAACAAACGCAATTGTAAAATAAGCCACATTATTTAGTGGAAGTTAATTAAAAATAGATCAGAATGGAAATTCGTAGAAAGCCAGTCAGGCATTTCCAAGCGAGAGATTAGCAAAACGGAAGAAAAATTTCGATCTAGATTAATTATTGAAACCATTTGTTGATGTGGGATCGACAACAGTGAAATTCCTTTTACTTCCTGCGTTCAATTAATTGAATTCAAGTGTGAATAAGCTTTGGAAGTAGTGCTTCTGAAATAGTCAAAATTTAAAAACTGAATTCAGTTATGTTTTAGCAGTTTTAATCTAATCTTTAATGAGATAAATGTAGATTTATTGCAAATGATTGGATTATTGAGTGAAATTCGACACCTCTACTCTTTCACCTTCTTTTTTTCTTTAAAATGACGAAATTTGATTTCATCGAAAAAAATTAAGTAAATTACCAATAGATTGAGAGTGCTTTTGAGTGTGGATCTTTAAAATGAAGAAAATTGATCAAAATGAACTGAATTATCGTCTATACTTTGCATGCGTCGTTTAAAAAAGATTCAAAAAGAATAACAGATTCACCTTTAATATTTTTAAAGTGACCTTACATAAAGCGACCTTTTTGCCTATTTTACTTTCGCTGATAAAACTTTGGCATTTATATGCATAAATTGAGACCTGTCAGTCTTGATTGAAAATGAGCGTGGTAGATTGTCCTAGCAAAAGGACATTTGAAAAGTGACCTCCGGACTTTAGCGGATTTGTGTTTATTTTCTGATTGGTTTATTTGCAGATTTCGCGATTGGGGCACCTTACGATGGGGGTGGAGGCTCGGTGATTATCTACCATGGATCCAAGGACAAGAAAATCGGATCTCCGACACAGGTTAGTCATTTTATTTATACGCAGCATATAGTATTGCATAGGTTATGTCAACCTGACAAAAAACCACCTTATAATAGTGATGGATAACATTTTATTGTGATTTTCAAAATACATTGAAAATGTCTGGTCGCTGCTGAGATAATTATGAGACAATAGAAGTTGTGCTTTATCCAGAGTTTACCACTCAATTCGGTGAATTGTGATTATTGGGGGGGGG